TGCAGCTATAACTGGTGTGAATTAAACTCACAAAATTCAGAGTATAGTGTCACCGAGTTCCCTTATTCCATGACTTATCATATTTCTTCCATGTCCTACTACATATGGTGCGATGCCAACGAAATCTAAGAACAAACACATGGAGTTAATGTGAAGCAAGTGAAGTCATTAATTTTCTTGCCAGGAAATAGTATAGCAAACCAACATCTTACCTGATAAGTATGTTTTGCTATTTATACTCTCGGAAAAAGACATCCATGCTTGAAAATCCATATAGGTCCCCAGTTTTGCTATGTTTAATGGACTCCGCATGTTCTGATTTAGTAACATTGCTAACGTTTAAGAAAATATGTTATTTTTTTTCTCGTGGACGATGCTGTGCAACTGAAGAAACCTCGAAAGTTGTTCTTGTGAGACTAATGGCCTAAAATTTCTTTATAGTATGATGTAGGCATGTATCAATGTGCCTTTGCATCGTGCATCAGATAGGATCTGAAACTTGGACAACCTATTTTTAGATAGGAAACATTTAATTAAACAACAAAATTAAAATTATAAAGTTCTGTTTGGATCTTTCATTGAAAAGAGAGGTATCACGGTTGCAACATGCTTCTAAGTTTTGACCGGATCTTTCTAACTAATAAAATATAATTGGAATAAAAATCTCACCTTGCCCAACACTGGAGAATTCTGGACATCATATGCATGATGTACCCTGTCGTCTCTATTCCAGGAGCAGCTCCTGGCGTAGGCATACTAGTGGAAGTCGTGGAAGTTGCAATACTATCATACTACCGTTCGATACTTTATTTTTTGTATTTTAACTTCGGAATTAATTAATACATATGAAATTGTATTATGTTTTGAAATCCAGAATTATAATTAGCATATTGTAATTGACAAAGGACTCTAAATCACTGCAATTTTAGAAAACAACTAATGCATCTTTATTAAGTAATATTTACAATAATAACCCATGCATCACGCAGGTTTGCAACAGGTATTATTATAAATTCCTTAGAATTACAAGCATTGTCAGCCGATCAAACACGAGCCTCAAGTTTACAGCAATTGCTCCAGCATTCTGATGCGTTAGGGTAGCACGTCTTGTAATCTTTCGATTTTTTGTCATAACAGCAGTATCCATCTGGGGAAATGGTGCATTTCACTGGTTCCAAACCATTGATACCGACTTTGTACCTTCCTTCGTTCTTGGATTGGCTAGCAGTGTAAACCATGTGTTTACCTTACAAACAAAACGAACACATTTAGAATGAAACATAGAAATAAAAATAAAACAAATGCGATGCATGGATTGGTGAATAGGGAGAACAAGACAAAAAAAACAAAATGGAACCTACAAGATATGTTCTCTTAGTGCATCATGACTACTCTAGAAGAACAAAATAACTCTTTATTGAACGAAAATATTAGATGTCCCTTTGAGAATGAATAACAGTTAGCAAATTACCATATATGCGTGCAGGCATAGCAAGAAGAACTACGAACAGAACCAAGAGTAGGCTACGGGACTTCATCTGCTTGCCCATTTGGTTATGCTGTATGAAGCTATGGATTGTGTACCTTTTTTTGTTGTTCCATGGTTACATATATATATCAAAAACATTTGTATTTTTGTGAAATTAATGGCATCCAAACATAAGACTTATCCCGGACGTCTGGCTATCTATACTAATATTTTTCGTTAGGTACCAAATACTTGCTGTTTTAAACCAATACTCTGTCTCTCATGTATAATTTTAGCACAAAATAATAGCGTACAACCTTAAATCTTGTATGAAATGTCTGGCCATTCCGTGACAAATAAATTAAGGCTTATCCTAAACGTCTGTCTAAGTTTGTGTTAAATGAATGATGTTAATTAGTAAGTGGATAATCTTATCTTCTGTATTTTACTGACATTGCTAAACATGGATGATTGTTTATGACAACATCTTCTTAATGCTAGTAAATTCCGTGGGCCCACAATTAATGTTAAGGGATTAGTACCTCTGAGTATTATGCTATATATCTGGATTAAAATATCTCGTCAACCCGTGTGTTGCACGGGGTATTATATTAAGAGATAATCCATGAAATGCCATTGACAAGCATCCAAATCCTAGAAATGACATCAACAAGTGTGAGTTCCAAGAAATGCCATCGTACAAACGACTTTGTCCCAAAAATGCCATCGTCGTTAGGGTTCCGTCCACTCCGTGCCGTTAAGTTCCATAGGATGAACAGTATATTTAACGGCGCAAAATGGACGGAACCCTAACGGCGATGGCATTTTTGAAACAAAATCGTTTGTACGATGGCATTTCTTGGAACTCACACTTGTCGATGGCATTTCTGGGACTTGGACGCTTGTCAATGGCATTTTTTGGATTATCTCTTATATTAATATTGTAAATACTTATACATTTTTCTATCATATATGCGATAAATTGGTTATTTTTAAAAAAGATCTCTTCAAATGACTACATATGATTTCTAAAATTGAAATAATGAAAATAATGTTTAAATATTATATCAGTTAACGCTGGGATAATTTTTAGTACCGAAACTGTTGTAGGCAAGGTTGAGTATATTTTAATTTTTATCCAATTTCTTAGTTACTAAACTTTTACGTTAGACTACTACACTCTGTACTATTGTTCTGGATTAAAATAACGTAATTAGGAAACTTCTTCAGTCAAAAAAAAAGTTAGGCTTAAGGAACTAATAAGAAGAAACATAAAACTCAGAGATACTTCTTGTCTTCTTGCCAATATAGCATCAACTCTGCAATCGTTCCCAGCTTTTAACAACTCTCCTTATTCTCCAACAATAGTGTTTTCTGAAGAATATTTTTTCAAGGAGAGTTGCATCATACCTTTTCATTGATCTCTAATTAATCACTTCATATGTTGAGAATAAAAAAAATTGCAGCTATAACTGGTTTTAATTGAACTCACAAAATTCAGAGTATAGTGTCACTGAGTTCCCTTATTCCATGACTTATCATATTTCTTCCATATCTCCTATATATGGTGCGAGGCCAATTGTAACATACCCAAAATTTGATTTTCAAATTTTGACTTTGATAGAACAATAAAAATGTGTTTCGAAATTCATGACTAAATTTTTTCCGTTAAAAGACCTAGGTGAGTCTAATATGACTAGTTCGCATAAGTAAACTAGAAAATCAGAGTGCCAATTCACACGCCGGTAAATTTTAGCCCTGTGTGTATTATCATGTGTATTTATTACTACATTGATTTCTACCAAGCAATTGCTTTTAGTTCATTAAAAATATCAACATGGTAATGGTTCTTGTCTTAATTGTATGTCTATATATTTTACAAAATCGTATGAAAGTTCTTGGCGTTACTTGCTTATGCACTTATTTTATCTTAATTTTCCATTAAACCTATAGTAGATTACATTTATTTGAATATTTTTTAATAATGAGATTCTTGATACTACTTCTTTGGTGCTTTTAATTTCGCTAGTTACTATTTTATTTTTTAGGCATATAGGATGTTACTTGCCTCGATTTTGATTAAACATTAAGTAATTATATTTATGAAATTTTTTTACCATGGGTTAGAAATCCTAACAATTCTCCCTTTTCTCTCCCTTTTTTATTGTTCAATTTTGTATTGCTCCATCTGGTCAGAAATATTTGTAACTTGGCCACTAATAAATTCTTATATCTTATATAGCTCAGTTTATCAAACATGGGAAAATAATGTATAAAAAATTAAGTAGAAAAGTACTATTATAATCTTATAAACTCAAACGGATGATAAGAGTACTTATTTTTCTTTTCGATAATTCTCTATAGTTCTCCGTTTGTTGGGCATGCACGCGCTAGCACTGAAAGATATACTTTCTTCATGAGAGGTTGATACATAAGAAAACAAATCTACTGTTTTTTTCATGCTATTAGGGTACATGGGGCGTCAGGCCCATGTGTGCGTGCAAGACCCAGCACAACGTAGCATTCTTTTTTCCTTTTTTTCTTTTCTCGATCTCTCCGACTGTTATTCTTATGTGTGGAGACTGATTCCATGAATAGGGATGTGCCACGTGGCTTATCTCTCCAGCGATTAATTTGCATAGAATTCGGTATAAGAGAATTTGTGAATGATTCAAAACCTTTTCCCTACCAACCTATATAAAAAGCTAAAACTTGGTTGAGTGCTTGTATTTGCATAATCCATTAATGTGACTTTAGTTGTTTGTGTGTTTTTGGATTTTGAATGCATTCCATAACTCAATTTTTTCTTAAGCTTTACCTAGTAAAATACCTTTGGGAAGTATTTATGAAGACATAAGGATCAAGTCTAATGACACCACCTCTGGCAAAATATATGCAAATATAGCATCTTCATAATGTAAAAGTTAAGCTCAATGAATACCTAGCTAGAAATAAATGGTGTAACATAAAATCATGGAAAGATTCATGTAGATGCTACCCAACCTTTAGAACTCACGGGAATTTTGAGATAATTTAATCTCTAAATTTATTACCTCAATTAAATGGGTCAAAGTAGTCAAATAATATATTATTTTTAAATTTTATTTAGCAAAGACAATACTCATCAAAATATGCATCAATATGTAAAAAGTGTATATGAAACAAAATTTATTCAATACTAGTTTATTTAACATGTAAGAATATAATTTTTCCATAGTTTATTTCAGTGGTTTTGTCCTCCTAAAGATCCAAACCAATTTCTACCAAGCCATTCTTAATTATTTTACTGAGAATAAAATATAAATATTTTTTTAGTGAAACTAGGAAAAATGTAAACTAGATTATTTTATCTGCTATCACAAATATCCACAATTATTAATCGGTTCTCTATATTAAATTATTGAATTACATAGTAGATAGAGAGAAGAAATAAAAAGGAAAAATCCTAGAGAATATCCAAAACAAGAGTTGACCTCTTTCTCTACACCCACCCATAGACCACATCGCCCTTGATCCACTTGACATCCTCACTGGCTTGCCTGATGCCTCCACCCCTGTGTAGTTTCTTTAACCGACAAGAACACAGAGACAGGCGGCCAGAGACCGAGAGCGGTTGTTCGTGCTCGACGCGTGTCCGCAGTCGTGGCAACGCCGACATCCTCTTTTAGCCCACCGAGAGAGAGAGCCCCCAGCCCCTCCGTCGCACTCTCCGCCGCCGGCCATGAAGAAGACGACGCTCGCTGTCGCCGACGAGTCATCGCCATTCCTAACTCATCTCCGTTCCATACTCTTCTCTCCATGCCGAACATTTCTTCTGTTGAGCCCATCTTGTTTCATCCACTGCAGTAACGGGAACGCGGACCTCGCCATCGTTGTCCCGGAGCGAGCACCGTAGGTCGCCGGCACTAGCATCGTCGTCGTGCCCAACGGAGGATACCACCCCGAGCTGAGTCCTCTCGCCATCATCCTCCTATCGATCTCCTCTTCAAAAGCCCTCAAGAATCCAAGCCAATGGCGCAGCTAACGGGGAGATCGGCATCATCTTCTTCAACTCCGGCCAACTGCCGCCGCCGTCGAATCCTCTTCCTCCGGTGAGCCGCAGATCAATTCCTTGCGCATGCAACTCCCTAGCGATCTCACTAACCACACATACACCTTTTCTGAGCATCCCATCGACCGGAGCGAGCCCGTCGCCGTGAAGCCGACGCCATCCTTCGTCGCCGAGCCATCTTCTCCACTGCCGCCGTTGTCCAGACGACCAGACCTCACCGTGCTGGGTTCAAGCTTTGTGAGTACCTAGGACCTCTATAAACACACATGCATGAATCAAGAATGCCTAATCCGAGCTCAACCTTCGCTTGCACATGCAGCCTCAAAGCCGTCGCCGCACAAATCACTTTTACGCGCTGCTCCGGCGACAAAACCACCATCTACGGGTTCGCAATGGAGTCATCTGCATTTTCTCTTTTGGTTGGGTCGGCTGAGAATGCACCGTCCGCCGTCGGCATCGCCGTGAACCTCGCCGGCCGGCGAGGTCTGCTCCTGCTGCTGCCGCTCTTTTCTCCCCCGAGCAAACGACAGGTGGGGCCCATTTAATTAGGCACTAAGGACTGTGATTAGAAATAGTTTAAAACATGTAAGGTTGAAATTGTAAAATCGTATAGCATGACATGTGGACCCAAGAACTTGCATGCAACTAAATTAAAACTTGATCACTCTTAATGAATTTTGATTTAGCACGTGCTAGGGACCACACGACCTATTCCTAGAATCCTCAAGGACCTTTCTGCGTATATACCACTGTATTTAAATTCTGAAAAAAATGTAAAGAAAACAACTAAAGTATTATCTACTCAACAGGAAAAACATGCAAACTTGTATATTAAAAAGATACACTTAAAGTACAAGAACCATCTTTAAAATTTTGTATAAGGCTCTGTTTAGATCCAATCATAAAACTTTACATCCTATCACATCGAACGTTTGAACACCTGCATCGAGTATTAAATATAAGCTAAAAATTAACTAATTACACAGATTGCGATTAATTTGCAAGACAAATCTTTTAAGCCTAATTACTCTATAATTTGACAATGTAGTGCTACAACAAACATTTGCTAATGTGTGTGTATGTATATATACGTATATATATGTATATATATACGTATATATATAGATACGTATATATATATATATATACGTGTATATATTTATTTATTTTTATGAATATATTTTAATGCATAAAAAATCTATACACATATACAAAAGTTTATATATGATGTATACAAGTTTATATAGGACATATACAAACTTTATATACATACGTATTAAAAAAAAACTAGAAAATATATCACCTATACAAAGTTTGCATACGCATATACAAACTTTGCATACGCGTATACAAACTTTACAAACGCGTATACAAACATTGTATACGTACGAATACAAACTTTGTATTCATACATCTTAAAAAAAGGGAAAAACATAAGAGAAACCGGGGAAAAAAAGGGAAAAACCAAAGAAACGAAAGAAGGGGAAAAAAAGGCAAACCGAACAGAAACGAAAAAAGGGGAAAAAGATGGAAAACTCGCTCAACCGCGAGAGGGGTGCGCGCGAGGGTTGAAAGTGATTCGGATAATTTCCGTCCGACCGGACCTTTTTTGGGATTTAGATAGTTTCGGTTGGATATATCCGGAAATTTTCGAATTCGGAAACGAATTCGGATATGAAAACGAATATGATATAGGTGATATCCATCGGATATTATCAGGTAGGAATAAGTTCACTTTGGGTCCCTCAATTTGTCGCCCAGTCCGATTTTCATCCCTTGACCGCAAAACCGGGTGTGACCCATCCCCCAATTTACGAAAACCGGGCAAATGTGGTCCCTCGGTGGTTTTAAAGGCAGTTTTGGCTGACGTGGCGCATACGTGGCTTGTTTGACTAGGCCTCCATCCCACGTGGCATTGACGTGGCGCTTACGTGGCAATTATCTCCCGGAAAAATAATAAAAAGAATGGCCCCACATGTCAGCTGCACAAAAAATAATTTTAAATGGTGGGGCCCATGTGGGCCCCACATGTCAGCCTCACTCTCCTTCCCTCTCCCTTCTCTCTCTTCTTCCCTCTCCCTTCTCTCTCTTCTTCGGTTCTTCCCTCCCTCTCTCTCCTTCCCGGGTAGAGGACGGCGCGGGTGGGCGGCGCAGCAAGCGAGCTCCGGCGGCGGTGGCGGGCGTGGTTGGCGCCGACCCCGACCGGAGCGCCGCCGGTCCGAGTGAAGGCGAGCAGAGCGGCGGCGCCCTGGAAGACGCCATCGACGCTGCCGACCACCAAGAAGCTTCGCGTGGGTGGATGAGCGGCGGGGCAGAGCGGGGGGCGGCGGCGGCAGGCGGACGGCGGCGCGAAGTCGACAGGGCGGAATAGGGCAGTCGTCGCACCATGCTTACCTCGAACACGATGTCGCCGCCTCCGCCACGGCGTCCGCAGGAGCAGAGGCGGAGGGTGAGTCGTCGGATGCGTCGTCGGCGTGGGGGGATGGCGTCGAGCTTTCGTCCGCGTGCAGCTGCGACTCAACGTCGTCGTCTTCATTTCTATCCCCTTTCCTCTCTCTTCTCTCTCTAGCGCCACCACCACCGACTCCGCCGCCGCTCCCCAGCACCGCCACATCCCTCGCCACCGCTGCCGCTACCAACTCTGCCTCCACCACCACCCTCGCCACCTCCGCCACGGCGACGGCACTCAGAACTGGTCCTCACCAACACCATCCTCCGCGGCGACGGCGGGGCCAACCTCCTTCCGGACGGCGACAAGCTTTGGACGGCGGGCCGCAATGAAGCCCCACAACGCGGGAGCGTCCATGCGGCCGGCGGCCGCACATCCACTAGAGCGCGCCCCGGACGTCGGTGGGCGGGGGCTCCGCGGACTCGGCCTCCGCGACGGCCACGGAGAGCGCCGCCTCAGCCTCGGCGAGGCGCGTGGGGACGGCGGCCTCGCGGGCCTCGAGCGCTGCGAGGGACTCGGAGGTGGATGCGTCCACGGCGGCTAGGTCATCGTCGAGCGACGTGGAGCGGGCGGCGAGGTCCTCGCAGGGGAGGGAGGCAAGGAGGCGGAGCACGGCGTCGGGAGGGGAGAGCGCGGTGTAGGTGGCTTGTGGAGCGGCAGTGGGAGGACAACGAGCGCGGTGTAGAGGCGCTCAGCGATACCGTCCCGGCGCGCGCGGAGGGCGTCCGGGTGGTCGGCGGCGTCGATGGCGTCTTCCAGGGCGCCGCCGCTCTGCTCGCCTTCACTCGGACCGGCGGCGCTACGGTTGGGGTCGGCACCGACCACGCCCGCCGCCGCCGCTGGAGCTCGCTTGCTCCGCCGCCCACCCGTGCCGTCCTCTGACATGTGGGGCCATTCTTTTTATTATTTTTTCGGGAGATAATTGTCACGTAAGCGCCACGTCAATGCCACGTGGGACGGAGGCCTAGTCAAACAAGCCACGTCAGCCAATACCGCCTTCAAAACCGCCGAGGGACCACGTTTGCCCGTTTTTCGTAAGTTGGGGGATGGGTCATACCCGGTTTTACGGTCAAGGGTCGAAAATCGGACTGGGCAACAAATTGAGGGACCCAAAGTGAACTTATTCCTATAAGGTATTTTCCATCGGATATCCGACTTACACATAAGGCTGCCATAGCCTATAAGCTAGCCCAACCAATGAGGAGGCAAATCAGATTTCTTAGCAAAAATAAATTTCGAATTGAATTTTATGATACTAAATGAGCTTATATGATGTCAAAAACAAAGTTGTAGAACTCATTAAGATCTCCGAATTTTATTTTTGTCATTTCTCCATCCGAGTTTCATTGAACTATATAAAATTTCAATTTTAAAATATAAGAAATTCAAATAATTCTTCAGTTAGTAAATGGTTTCAAATGGTAAAATTGTCAAAAATAAAGTTGTATAACTTATCAAGATCTACAACTTTTATTTTGGTCATTTTTCTATATGACTTTGTTTGACAGTTTGAATTTAAATTTGAAATATAACAACTTCAAACAACATTTTCAAATACTAAATGATTTCAATTGAAAAAGTCATCAATACAAGCTGTATAACTCATCAAGATCTATAATTTTTATTTTGGTCATTTATTTATTCATCAAAGTCATCCAACAAAGTAATAGTAACATTCTTCACAAAATTTACATATCCCTCATATGGTTTTATAAACTATAAGAGAGATATGTAAATTTTGTGAACAATATTACTGTCACTTTGTCGAATGAAGAAATGAGCAAAATAAATATTGTATGTCTTGATGAGTTACTTCTACAGCTTTTATGTTCATGATTTTTTCAGCTGAAATTATTTACTACTTCAAAATATCATTTGAAGTTTTGAAATACAAATTTTTAATTGATAAAACAACGTCACAAGAAAAAATAACCAAAATAATAGCAGTAAAAATACAATAACATGATAGAGCATAATTTTAGAAATATTTAGGAAAAAGAATCATCCAATTTGGTGTTCATATGATTGAGATAAACTAGTTTCAATTTTTTAAATTTTATTTTCGCATACGGCTACTTAAGACGCCCGTATGGAAAAATTGATTTTTCTACACAGTGTCTTAAGTGGTCCGCATGCAAAAATGAGCTCATTTTGGCGTCTTAAGGAGTCGGATGCGAAAATGCCGACGTGGCAAGTTGTGATCTGTTTGCAAAAATTATAGGGTCTCATAAAAAAATTGTTTGTGTAGTAGTGAGGAGTTTTTATATTCTGGTTAATATTTGTCACCGTATTCTTTTCGCTTCGTATTCACTCTGTATTTGTATTCGATAATATTCGATTTTGTTTTCATATCCAGATTTCCGATTCCTATTTCGATTCCGAAAAAAATTATGAAAACGAATACGATAGAGTTAGGGTGTGTTTGGTTGGAGGGATATCCCTGAATGGGAGATGGTGATGCAGTTTTTGAATATGTTTGGTTGTGGGCAAGGGTGGATAAAGCGGCCCGGAGTGGGAATATTCCACGAAGATACTGGATGAATGTATCCGGCCAAATTGGCCAGATGAGGATATCCACCTTTGATAATCTTGATCATTAGTTCTTGATTAGCAATAATTAAAGTATATGATTGTTAATTAGTAATTAACTTGTCAAAAATTAGTGTTGATTAGATATAATTACTCTATTTTATTGTTAATTAGTATAAATTATAGCTATATTAATGATAATTAACATATTTTATTATTAATTAATATGTTGTTGTTTTCATCCAATCCATTCTCAACCACCCAACCAAACAAGAAACTGGATGGCCATATCCACTTAACCAAACAAAAAACTGGACCACCATATCCCTTAAAATATAGATGGACATATTCTATCCTGTCTTGACCACGAAACAAACATATCCTTAGTTTCCGACCGTATTCGATCCATTTTCATTCCTACGGCGCTACTGATCGCGAAATAGCCTTCTCAGTTTCAGTCGTATACAAACAAGATACACGGTACGAATCGTACTACGTCATACATTAGTACTTATTTATCCAACACCTAACTGGTAACGTTTCCGTATTCTCCTATTGTGTACGTCTAGCCTCGGCCGTGTCACGTTCACGTGTCAGGCAAAAACGTAACCACACCGCCTTCCAATCTACCCTACCATGGCGACGGCGACAGCGACGGCGAGCAGGAAGGGCGACCACGACTGCCCCGAGCTGCCGCCGGACACCCTGCGCCTCATCTGGGCCTCCCTGCCGATCAAGTCCCGCGTCCGCGCTAGGGCCGTCTGCGCCGCGTGGTCGTCCGCCCTGCCGGACAAGATCGACCACTTCCCGTGGCTCCTCCGCCTCCCGCCGGCCCATGGCGACGCCGCCGCCGCCGCCGCGTCGTCCCCGGCGGTGTTCTTCCCGTCGACGGGAACTTCCGCCGGCTTCGAGCTCCCGTTCCACCGCCCCGGCACGCGGTGCGTCGGCATGCACGACGGCTGGATCGCCGCGGTCGACGTCGATCTCGGCGTCAGGATACTGGACCCGCTCTCCGGCGCCCGCGTCGACCTGCCGCCGCTCACCGCGTGCCCCGGCGTCGGATTCGGCCGCGGCCGTGCGTCGAGGAGGCTGCACGAGCAGGTCGAGTACAGGCAGTCGCCGACCGCCGTGACGGAGTTCTTCCCCGTCGACACCTTCCTCGACTCTGTCCTGGTCAAGATCGCCTTCTCGGCGCCCGGCGGCGCCGACGACGGGGACGGCGAGGTGGGCGCCTTCGCGGTCGCGGTGTTCTGGGACAGGGTGGTGTACACGGCCGCCGGGCTCGGCGAGTGGCGCCAGCTGACGACTCCCAACGCCGGCACGCGCTGCCATCCGGAGAAGGTCGTCGACGTGGTGCACGCCGGCGGCGGCAGGTTCTTCGGCCTGACCGCCACGGACGAAACGCACGTCACGTACCTGGCTCCGACCGCCCTATTCGACATCCAGGTGTTCGACCTGAGCGCCTGCGGCGGCGGCGGCCCGGTGGAGGCGAGCAAGCTCCCCGTCGCCAGGCTGCGCCCGAGGCAGGCCCTGCGCCGGCAAAAGTTCCCGTCCGCCGACGTGTTCTGCGCGCGCCTCTTCCTCCTCGACGGCACGCCGCACGTGGTGCTCCGGTGGTGGGACGTCCTGGCGCGCGCCGACGAGATGGCCGTGCTCGCCAGCGACCCGGGCGACCCGCTCGGGTGGCGCGCCGCCGGCGACCTGCGCGGCCGCGCGCTGCTCGTCGGGAACGGCTGCGCCGCGCCCGTGCGCGCCCCCGGCGGCGCGATCGGAGGGGACCGCGTCTACTTCGCGGACAAGGTGAGCTGCTTCGCGCGGGAGTCGAACCGGAGGCTGACCGGCGTCGGGACGTTCGACGTCAAGAGCGGGAGCCTGGAGATGCTGTGGAAGGACGGCGCTGGTGATGACCCGCTGGAGGCCTGCCGGGCGCCGACGTGGTTTGCGCCGCCTTATTTTTTCCGATGATCTGAAAACGTCCTGGTATTAGTGCCAATGATCTAGCTAATTAGAGTACTAGATAGATTATATAGATTATTAGATTTCTAGTTTATTATTTTATTTTGTGTCACGTTTGTTCATCATTACTCTAATAATACTATATCTTCAATGGATCCGTATCCTTTGCCTTTGCACATCCACCGCCCAACGCTAATCGAGCGTCCAGCCTTTTGATCGTTTTTCCATGGCCGCCGAGGGATGCATGGTCAGGGCCGGCCCTAACTTTCTGGTGGCCTGGTGCAGAAAAAAAAATAAAGGCTTCTATTCATCATAAAAATACATGATAATATTTAAAAACTTATTGTTAAAATACAAAATAATATTTAAAAACTCATTGTCATTAACGAATTTCACATTAATAAGTTTAAAATAAAAAAAGAAATGTCTCTAGATCATTTAAAACAATTTCTTCTAATAGTGCTAGATGCAAAATCAGTGATAGTGTCAATATCAATCTCATTCAGAAGCCTCTTCTCAATGCACAAAGTAGCCAACCCATTTAGCTTTTCATGAGACATCACTGACCTCAAATAATATTTCAATAACTTCAACTTTGAAAAGCTTCTTTCAGCTGATGCGACAGTCACCGGCATAGTAAACAAGATTCGATAAGCAGTAGACACATTGGGATAGCTGTCCATTTCTTTAACAAACTCAAAAATCCCCATAGCAGGCAAAGTCAGCTGCAAAACCTTTAATTTAGATATTAGATCATTTAAGTCCACATCACACGAATCATCCGAAGAGAAAGTTTTGGCAAAAGTAATACAACAATCTATAAGTTCCATATCATCCATTGATGTCAAGTTTCTTGGAGTTCTATCTTTTCTCTAAGCCTATCAGACCTGATACCATAGCATATTTTGGAGGCTCCTAATTTTTTGAAGCCCAATACGGCCGCACTGTCCACACTGGCCCAGGGCTGGCCCTGTGCCTGATGCAGGCAGGTGATGCTTGTGACATGATTTGCAATTTCGTAAAGCCTGTTCGAGAATTTCGGTCGTTTTTCTTCACGAAACTATTTTAAATTTTAACAAATTTTGGCTGAATTTAAATATTATTTTACCAAATTCACACATATTTGAAAAAATGCGAAAATTTGACAGGTGATGCCTGTGAGGCCTCCAGTCCGTCTCACTTTAAGGGCCCCTTTGAATCACAGGAATGAAAAAACAGAGGAATAGGAAAAACGTAGGATTTTTGTAGGAATGGAACCGTAAAAACAGAGGATTGCAAAACATAGAAAAGTTATGTTACTAGCCCTTTGAATGGGTATAGGAATTTCACAGGAAAGAGAGTGTCAGGAAGTGTATTAATACATGTCACTTTGGCCTTATCCACAATATCGCAATGTATATTTTCTTCTAAAAGAACAACAATGATGCATATGTCTGTCATTTACCTCGATCCTACACACACATGATGGAAAAAAGAGGTTAGGGTGGATGTTTTCTTTCCTATGTTTTCCATGTGAAATGAGTTCCAAAGGAAAATTTCCTCTAACTTTCCTATGCCCTAATCCTATGAATCAAAGGCTGCTACAGTGCCCAATCCTAAATCCTATATTTTTTCTATGAAATTCCTATGAATCAAAGGAGGCCTAAAGATGTGATCCTCAGGGTTTTCAGGTGACCACGACGTTGATGCTTTAATTTTCTCCGTAATCCATCTATTGGCTGTATAAAGAATTAAAGATTGGCATTCGAATTTGGGCGTCTTCCGACTGTTGTCTTCTCTACGGCCGCTTTCGCTCGCTGCTCGCCATCTGGCGCATTGCAGTCGCTCATGGGCACAAGCGCAGATGCTGCGGCGCCGGCTTCAGCGGTCTCGTTGCATACTTGCATTTCTGATGAGGAAGATGATGCACGGATGATAAACATCATTTCACGTTCGTTTCAAAAAAAGATAAACATCATTTCACGTGTTTAATCTGAAGTTTATATATATACCTCCAATCGTTCGAAACATATGATATGTTAACACATGAAGTACTTAAGTACATATATAATATGGTATCACCGTCACAAATTAATAACAACATATAGGGTACCAACAGACTTATCCAAACGTCCGAAGGGGAGAAACCATCAAACGCAACAGTACTGCTATAAGCTCCACAACAAAAGCCTACATAATATTGCAGCTACTCGCTCAAGCTAAATACCATGATGGCCCATGGAGTGCAAGAGAACTGAAACGAAGTAGGTACCAGTGTATTAGTGCTTGCCACCGATCCCTCCGCCACCACCGCCGCCACCTCCACCGCCGCCGAAACCTCCGCCGCCAACACCGAAACCAAATCCACCACCCTTCCCAAAACCACCGCCAATCCCACTGCCTCCACCGCCACCAAATCCTCCACCACCTCCACCACCGCCTCCACCAAGTCCGCCACCGCCCCCAAGGCCACCACCTTTCCCGAAACCACCACCAATTCCACCACCCTTGCCAAAGCCACCACCAAGACCTCCGCCTTTACCAAAGCTGCCACCGAGACCACCACCCTTCCCAATACCGCCACCGAGACCACTGCCTCCACCAAGACCGCCACCTCCCCCAAGTCCACCACCACCCCCAAGACCGCCACCTTTTCCAAAACCACCACCAATTCCACCACCCTTGCCAATGCCGCCACCGAGACCACCGTCCTCGCCCCCACCAAGTCCACCACCACCCCCAAGACCACCACCTTTACCAAAACCACCACCAAGTCCACCGCCTTTGCCAATGCCGCCACCAAGACCACCACCCTTCCCAATGCCGCCACCAAGACCGCCGCCGCCACCAAGTCCGCCACCGCCCCCAAGACCACCACCTTTTCCGAAACCACCACCAAGTCCACCGCCCTTCCCAATGCCACCACCAAGACCACCGCCGCCACCAAGTCCGCCACCACCCCCAAGTCCACCACTTTTTCCAAAACCGCCGCCAAGTCCACCACCCTTACCAATGCCGCCACCAAGACCTCCACCTTTACCATAGCCACCACCAATGCCAGGACCAATGCCACCACCTAAACCACCACCTTTGCCAAATCCACCTCCAGCACCATGTCCGATGCCTCCACCAATCCCACCGCCTTTACCAAAACCGCCACCAAATCCACCACCTTTACCAAAACCGCCGCCCTTGCCGAAACCACCGCCAACCCCTCCGCCTTTGCCAAACCCACCACCTCCGCCTAAGCCACCACCTCCTCCACCACCGAGCCCGCCACCACCGCCTCCACCAAACCCACCACCACCTCCGAAGCCACCGCCGCCGCCTCCTCCACCACCACCTCCAAAGCCACCACCTTTCCCATAACCTCCACCAAGCCCGGCTCCAAGTCCCTTTCCAAATTGCTTCTTCAACCAGAGGGACTTCTCCTCACCGGCAGCATTGTCGTCACCCTTGGCGGCAACCGGCCGCGCCCACACGCCCACCGCCGCGCCACTCAGGCACAGCAGCAGCACGAGCGCCGCTCCCCTGGCCCTCCCCGCCATGGCTGTGTCTGGCAGCTAAGCTATCTGCAGCTGCTGCTTCTTCCTCCCAACAAGAAGAGAGAAGAAATTCAAGAAGCTCCTGGCTTGATCTGCAGGCTGCGCTGCCTGATTGGTTCTGAAGCCTGCACCAGCATTGGCTTATATAGAGACGGCCATAGAGTTGTAAAGCTGTAGCAGCTAGCATTGAGTGATCGACGGACCGATATGGTGCTCACCAGTGCATGCACGCAGCTGGGCTGGCTGGCCGGCCATGTGCGAAGCTCTATCCATGGCGGTGGCGCAATAAAGGAGCACGCAGTTGGGTCGTTGGGGAGGTGATGAGCGAGGAGTAAATGTGTGCGTGCTTTTCAGAGGACAAACCGGCTGCGATGGATGGATCATGGATCCCACCATGGACCGAGACTGGCCGGTCGTTATAGCAAAGATGAGCTACACTGTTACACTGGTAGAGACCTAAAGGTACAATGCTCATTCACATGGTCGTGCATGAAACCATTGATACGGTGAATGCAGCTATGTAGTAGAAAAAAAAAAACAAGTGTGGAATTGTAGGTGGACGTTGATTTAGGCTGGTGTACTGTATTAATTGGGTGGATGGAGAATGGAAGTTGGCAGCCGGGCAGTACAGTTGTTAGGTGCCTGTTCCTTACTGAAGCAAGGTGAGATTGGGGGCAAAAAATTAAACCGAGCTAAAAAATGGGTGTGGTGGTTTGGCAGTTCAGTGGTTACACACTTACACGGATGCAAAGCTAGTGTTGATGTGTGCAATGTAGCGGCAGTCACATGGACCGGAGGATTGGACTTTTGGTACAGTATGTAGTACGTAGCACGGTGTGCTATAGCTTTCTTGCGTTGCATGCATTTGCACTTCATCTGATGGCCGCCCGGGTGGTATACAGCGAGAGGGTGCTATACGGCGGCTTGTGCTGTGTGTTGCAGCATGTGCTGGTGATCAATGCTAGCTAGCTAGATGATGGAGGCCACCAGGACGGCTAGCTCATGGGGTGCATGCATTGCAGTGTTCTATCGTTTGGACACTTTAATTTGTGGGTATATTATTTATTATTCTATCGCCTGATCAGTGTGTGCATGTTTGTTGGATCAGTACTAGTGTGCACGTACGGGGGGATACGTAGAGAGGCTATATTCAGTATATACATTGTACGTGTGAATAATGTGCAAATATACGTACAGGTACAGATGGCTTGAGTAAAATGCGCAAATATTCAGAACCGTGCCGATTGATGAACGAATATAGTACGTTCCCCGTACTATATACAGAAGTACGAATATATACGGGTACAAAACAAATTCTCGAACTTAATGCATGCACCATAGTTTAGACTGGACGGTATGATCTGTACATATGTACACCTACATTTTAATTTGACAACTAGGAACATCGTGAGTTACTCCCTCCGTTTCAGTTTACAAGACGTTTTGACTTTGGCCAAAGTCAAACTATTTAAGTTTGACTAATTTTATAGAAAAAATAGTAATATTTTTAACCCTAAATAAATATATTATGAAAATTTATTAAATTATAGATTTAATGAAACTATGTTGGTGTTGTAAGTATTACTACTTTTTTCTACAGAGTTAGTCAAACTTAGAGTAGTTTGACTTTGACTAAAGTAAAAAACGTCTTAAAAACTGAAACAAAAGAAGTATTTGTTTTGAAAGTTTACATGAAACCTTCCGGCCCGTCCACACTACTACAGAATTACTATTGCAAACGTGCATATTCACCTTTTGTGGACGGGTGTTCCACCTGCTAGACCAAGATGTATGTAGAAATGAAGATTTTCGTACTTAGGCACCACAACTGATGAGAAATCCAATTTTGCACTTCACACTACTATAGGCCTACACTAGAATTTTGACCCAAAAAAAATAAAACTTCTAAAAAAACAGAAACCCTAGTCCCAATGCCTTAAATAGATCTGCTGCCGTCGCCCGAAGCCAAAAACTGTTAATGTCATTGCTGTTGAGGTCAAGGAAGCCAAGATGCACGTGATGGAGGAGGCGTCATGGCGTGGGGTGGCCACGTCAGTCGCCAGCCGCTCCCACCCATCGCGGGGGTGTCGGTGCCAGATCCGGCCATCGCTATGCCCTCAGTAGTGGTAGGGGAGGAGATGAGACGTGCACAGTGAAAAAGAGGAACCGAGGCGTGGGGTGGCCGCGCTCGTCGCAGCCGTTCCCACCTATCGCAAGGCCATCAGTGCTAGATCCGATTGTTGTGATACGATCGGCGGTGGAAGAGGAGGGTATGAGGTGCACAGTGGAAAAGGAGGAGCCGAGGCACGCGGTGGCCACACCCGTCTTAATGCCGGATCTAGCCATCGCCATTGATTCTAGCCACTGTGAGCCCATCGACACTGGATCCAACCATCATGAGGACGCCAACCGTGGAGGAGGAGGAGACGAGGCACAAGTGATGGAGGAGCCAAGGCATGTGGTGCCCGTGCTCATCACCGGAAGCTCTCGCTTGTTGCCCGCTCCCCCTTGGGCAACTAGTGGTGGTTTCAAGTAGGCGGTGAGAGAGAGGGAGAGGTGATGGGAAGGAAATGGATAGATCAAGATAAGAGAGAAGGGAACATGCAAAATATATAAAGGGAGAACGGAGAGATGTGTTGATGGGTCGGTCGTGACAACTTTTGATACTAGCCCCGTAACAGGCCTGTCTAAAAAATAAACTTATTTTGGTAGACGGGTCTTTAGCAAATAACTTTCAAAGCTTTTTACATATTGGCCTTGTTTTAATCTATTTGTCAAAATAAAGATATGTATATTTAAAGATCAATTCTAGAGTAGTGCCAACCGAATCAAGCAAATTTAACAAAAGCTCCGCAATAAATAGAGACGAGTACCATGTTGTTGCTTGGAAGAAACTATATATATAGCTGTATTGTCAAATAGGTTCAACTACTGGTACTAATTAACAAACTGTTTTACGACGCATACATATGGTTTCTCGATGTGTATAGATATGGATATTATAATGCCTCACAAATATGCTGCCGCTGCTCAGGCCACAATGTGTACGGCTCCCCTGACCGCCGGCCAACAGAGAGATGATTCCGGCGGGCGTCAGGCCCGCCCTACCCGAGGGAAGGTGTGCTATAGCTGTTGTTGAGCTTGTACAGCCTGGTATACCTCCTCCATCGGTGAAGCACAGGCCATATAGGTCGTATCTAGTTCACCTCCAACTACCCTAAACTTTTAACTTTTTATCCCATCACATCCAAAATTTCCTAAACACATAAAATTTCAACTTTTTTTTCAAACTTTTAACTTTCTCTAAACTTTTAACTTTTTTCATGAACTAAACACACCCATAAACACACCCATAGTTAATGCTCTATTATGCGTTCTGCAACTTGAGCAGCTAGAGCTAGCAGAGCAGCACCCATCCGAAGTATATACGTACAGGACATACAGGGACAATTCATGGGACTCGCTAATTATTACTATCTCTATTTTTAATAGATGACATCATTAATCTTTTAATAAATGTTTGATTATTTATCATATTTAAAATTTTCATGTAAATATAAGAAAAATTTAAGTCATGCTTACAAGATCATTTAACGATAAATTAAGTCCCAACAAAACAATACTAATTAAATAATTTTTTAATAAGGTAAATGGTCAAATGTATAAAAAAACAACGACATCACCATGTATCAAAAGAAAGGAAGGAGTAGTAAGTAGGTCTTGATGATGATCAGTTTGTTTATTTTTTTCCCAAAGTATACATGTATGTGCCTATTAGCTAGGTTTCATTTGTTCTAATGCTCTCTATTTAGTTGGTGTTCTTTTCTCCTGAAGATAAATATGAATATTAAGTTTTTTATGCAAAACGAGGTGGTATTAACATATGATTGATTGAGTTTTAATTATTACAAACTTGAAAAATAGATTAATATGGTATTTTAGAGCAACTTTCATATAGAAAGTTTTCACAGGAAACGCACCATTTAGCAGTTTGAAAAGCGTGCCACGAAAATCTTAATCTTTATCCAACTCTTGTTACAGAACGGGACCTTAATTTTGACACTTTGGGTCTCATCGGTTTGCCCAAAAACTTATTATAACCTGTAACGGCTTAGTAACAAAAAAAATATGTGTAAAATTTTTATATATGTGTTCTTGGCGAATTAAAAGCTAATGCTAAAAAAACTACGTTGAAAATATTTCAAAATCAACTTTAAAATTAAATTCTAAAATTTAAATTTTGGCTTTACCTTATTCCGATGGGGCTATTTACCTTTACAGAAATATATATACATAAAACATAATAGCATGAAAAGCTTTAGGGCATGTTTGGTTCTTGAGTAAAAGGGATACTCTATCAAACGTTCTGCACTCGCGTCGCCCTCCCACGGGCGACACGAGAGGCGACGCCGCCGCCAACTTCTTCCTCCCCACCTCCTTCTCTGCCTCGCCACCGCCTGAGCGGGTGTCGGCAAAGCTGCGCGGCCGCAGGGACGGCAGCGGCGAGGCTTCGCCCAGCGCGCGCTTGGACGGTCTGGGGAGCTAGTCGAGCGGCGGCAGTGGCAACCGTCCGGATCCGGCGGGGCGGCGGTGGGCGGCGGGGTGGAGTGGTGGCGGCGGTGTCTGGTGGTGAGAGGTGGCGGCGGAGAAGGCCAGCGGCGGCGGAAACCCCCGCCCAGATCCACGTCGTTTTGGCCGGATCTGGTCGGATATGGCAGGGCTGATGCCCGGCGACGACGGGCGGTGGGGAAGCGGGCGTGCTGGCGGCGGGGAAGAGGCGGTGGCGGCGACGGTGGCGCGGGCGTGGCAGCCGGGCGAGGTCGCGGGCGGCGCGGCCGGGCGCGAGTGTGGAAGCCGAGTGTTGGCAGGCGGCGGTTGGGCATGGGCGATGGCAGGGAGGCCATTGCCCGGAGGCCGGCGAGGATGGCGATGGCAAGCAGGTATCCGTCGCGCCGGAGAAGGATCATGCCCCCCCGAGGGCGGATCTGGTGCGGGACAAGCTCGCGGCGGTGGCGGCACCGCTGAGCTCGTGGCGATAGCGTCTGCAGCAATGGCGCGGGAGCACGGGGCGACGGCGACGGTGGCAACGGCGCGGAGTTCATGGCGACAGTGGCAGCGGCGTCTTGTCGTCGGCGACAGCACGGTGGCTAGTCAACGACAATGGCGGTTGCCGGCTGCTGTGGCAATGGGGCACTCGCGGCGGAGGCAGCGACGCAGAGCTCGTGGCGACGGTCGTGGTAGCGGCCGGACGACGGTGATGGGCTGCGGCTGGCCAGCGGCGAGTTGGCCGTCAGCAGCAGCGACTGTGGTAGTGGTGTGGGAGGTCGCATGGTGGCCTCGAACGGCTAGCCGAGGGCATGGCAGACGGCTGCACCTGGCCAGCGCGACAGCGTATGGAGGAGGGGTCGAAGACCGGCTTGGCGCCGAGAGGTGCAGCCGATGGCAGCGGAGGCCATCTCGGCGCAAGAGATTGAGGCCGGCTTGGCACGAGAGAAGCGGCCGATGGAGGGAGGCCGGATTGGCGCGTCTGGTGGAGGAGGCCGGTTTGGCGCGAGAGGCACGGCTGGTAGTGGAGAAGGCGACCCTGGTGCGAGGAGGAGCTGCCGGTTGGTGTGGCACGGTTTTCGGCGCACAAAGGTTGGCCGGCAAGGGGGGGCGCCGGTGCAGGGTCCCACATGTCGGCAGAGGTTGAGTGGTGGTGGAGCATCGGTGCGTTAGCTGTGGATTCGCAGGTGGTTAGCGGCGGGTGAAAACCCAGCCTGGCCTTGGCTGGACCGACAATGATGGTTAATTCCCCCTCCTGAGGGTGTTGTCGTGCTGTCTCACTCCTCAAGGGTGGTTGCTAGGCGAAAGCCCAAGACGATGGACGGTGGCGGCGGTTTTCCGTCGCTTCTCTTCTTGAAGATATCGTTTTGGCAGCCCCTAGCTATAGGACGATCTCGTCTGTGTTCCTTTGTTGGTCTAGCGGCGGCCGGTCCGGTGCTAGCCTTTTCCTGGTCATGTGTGTTGGCG